GCTCCTCCCTGCGCAGTTTCCAGCCACACTCGCCCCCAACACACCGATGGTGTGCGGTTTAAGGGCAGCAGCTCGTTTGCTGTGCAAAAAGAAAACTCTTCCAGAACACCCACTGTCATTTAATTTTTAGCCATCCTCCAATTCAGGCTGCTTTATCAAGGAATAAAGATACCGAGGAGCATCGAATAGGGTTCTACTGCTTGATAAAATTCAGCCCGGTCCCGTGTCCGTGCCGGAGGCTGTTTGAGTGTTTGCCGTTACAGTCCACGGTTTCCGCTCCTAGACCAGCTGCTTCTCCTGAAGTCACCTTGCCTCCCATTCCCGAACTTGGAGAACCCTCGTCCACCCTCCTGCGGGTACTCTTCCAGCTCCGGCAGCTCCTTTGCCACTGACAGCTGCCAGCGCCTCGTGTCCTTCCACTGCTCCTGAAACACGACCAAGAGAGTGAGACTTTACATACCTGCAGGGCTGTTCAAGGCACCTGTGTAATCAAAAGCAACACTGAATGCAGACGTAATTCCGGACAAATCCCACCCCTGTCAAAATAGGTCATCAGATCCCCCTTGGGAGACGCTCACAGTTCTGTGGCAAAGGATGAATTGATCACAAGGTGATGGAGTGAAGTCAATGGAAAACTGGTGAACTCTCAAATCCACTGGAGAGGTCAAAACCCAGAGAAGCCAAAAGATTGTGTTAGGTAATGTAATGAGAACAGAAATGAGAAAGCATGACAGGGTATTTTCTAGTGACTGTGCTGTTCTCTTTCTAACCACTGTTACCTCTGCAACACCCTTATAATGCACAAACCTTAACCTCCCAAACCACCCTATATTCAGTCCTACATATGGCAGTTGCCAAATCTCAAAGCACCAGGTTTTAAAGCCAACTCTGGCTACACAAACATACCTGTATGTTACTCAGTTCGTCAGCAGGGATATCAAAGCACACTCCCTAGAACAAGGGGGGGGGAAAAAAAAAAGGCATTTGTTTTCCAAAGATACACCCAAGAGCAGAGACACAACTCCAGACAGGCAGCACCAGCAACCACCCATCCATACTAGGTGTAGAAACCAGGAATGGCAGACAGCATGGTCTTTGGGGGAAAGCTTTTTACAAGCTGAAGAAAAAGAGCAGTTAAACCAGAAAAGGTCAAAGCAAAATGCAGATACAAATGCTCTGTTTGCTGCCTGCAATGGCCCTATCTGTTCCACAGACAGGCCTTGTGTGGCACCACAAGCTCTCTGAGAACACACCTGCACAGCAGGCAGTGTCAGACACCTCAGGGCTGACAGGGGATGCTGTACTGCTCCTCAGATCAGGCAGTCACTGCCTCACAGCTTCCTTCTCTATGCAGTGGTGCATGGTGTTAGCACAGGTACAATGACAAGTGCTCAACACCAATCCCACTCCATATATAGATGTATTTCTGAGGCCTTTCTTTAGGAGGGAATTCCTGCATTATCATTTAGGCACAATGTCTCCATGCAGAAAGTGCCTTTTAAACATTCAACCAATGTCAATGCTTAATTACCTTTTTTAATAGTGTATGCACAAACAGCAGTTTCAGGAGACCTTGTGACAGGTTACCATCCTCTGAGAAATAAGACTGAGTGGAGACAGTGAGGTACCAAATTCTATCCCAATACTCCAGAACTCCTGCACAAACTGGCCACATGTGCACACACACACAGACACACACGCGCATGCCCTTCCCAAGACTGGGCTATCTTACCATCTTCCCCTTGAGGAATCGCATTGCCGACACTTTGTCATCCACCTCCTCCCCGAGCTGTTCCTTCAGCCCCCGCCAGGCATAGCTCATGGTGTGCACCTCTATTGAACACTTCAGCACCATGGTCACAAAGCCCTGCAGCAGACAGAGGAAAACTTGGTCAAACGGCCTGTAAATCACTAATGGACTGCACTGGAACTTGTTATGTAGTATTTCACCCTAAGGAATAAGTTTCCCAAAATCCTCCTAAGACGCTGAAGGCATCCATATAATGTAGGACTGCCCACTGACATAAGAGGCCAATAGCATTTCTGTATTTTAGCCAGAAGCAGAGACACACTTATTCAATACATAAACTTACTGCTAGCAAACAGGCAAAAAAACCCCAAACTGCTGTGAGCACCACAGTCCGGTCACACATTCTGTCCAGAACTGTTACCACATGACAGACTGGGCCAAGCTCTCCCTAAATGCATGAGAAAAAGGAAGGACTGTACTTTTCTCCAGTCCAGATCTCTTTGAGATCAGGTAATCATATGCTACGCTTACTTGAAATACTACAGAAATGTAAAGAAGGGAAAATCACAACACTATGAACCAATCTGTTAGCTTGTAAAACGTCCTCAAAACTCTCTGTCAGTGTCTTCAGTCACTTCGATCTTTGCAGAAATTTAACTCTCATCACGAGTTCCTCACACTACAAGCTGATTTCAGTTAAGCAGGAGCTTGGGGGTAACAGCTGTTCAGAAACCCTACTGAAAAGCCTGAGAGGAAGATTGCACACATGGAGTGGGCACAAGAACTTTGTGTCCGTTGCTGCTGACAGAGGTGCGAGGCTGTTTACCGCGGTTGAGTTGAGCAGGGAGCGCTGCTGGATGTAAGCTGCCCCAGAAATGTGGGCCAGCGCGGCAGCCAGGGCAGCCACTGCCCCCTTCTCGTCTATGAGCTCTTGAGCAGACTTCCTGAAGTAGTCTACTGCAGAAGGAGGGATGGCCTCCAGCAACCTACATGGTGACAACAAAAGAGTCAGAGATCAGAAAAGGCCACTGTGAAGTGCAGTCACGTTTAAGACAAAGCCTAAATTGGTTGTTTCTGGGAACTGTGAAGTGCAGTCACGTTTAAGACAAATCCTAAATTGCTTGTTTCTGGGAATAGCAGGGGGAAAGAAAAGATAGGAAACCAAGAACAGCTACTTCTGTAATGCTATTTTTTGTATATTAGCACCTCCTGCCGATTTTCAGCGTACAGTGAACCCAACACCAAGGCCATCATCTACTTTACATTGGTCAGATCTTTGCTAACTGTAACAATCAGCTTCAGTGCAGTTCCCACCAATGGGGCAGCAAATGTGTACAGAGCTGCATGGAATAAAACCCACAACCTCTGGGAAGAATACAAAGAAAGGCAGGACAAGGCTCGTGACAGTAATTCCCTGGCCTGTTACTAACTTCTGATGACATAAACGGAGGTTAATTTTTGCAAGAACATAGAGAACAGTGTGTTCTATGAAAAGGGCTGTGTTCAGTACACAGAAGTTTGCAGGTACCACCTTACAATGTCTGCACACACAGGAGCTGATTTCTATGACGTGGGCAAAGCCATGCTCACATACAGGTCTGATCCCTTCAGGTTTTGAATTAACAGTGTCAAAAGCAACAACATCTCTAGACCTTTCTTAGGACTAGGCAAATAAACTTACTTTTTGGCATCGCTGCTCGAAGCCTGAATTACATCCGTGGCAGAGGGAACTCCTACACGCTTAAACGTGATCCCCTGAAACGAAGCAAACACACTGCATTTAAAGGCATTGTCAGCACACTATGACTCAGTCCTACCTAAGGCACATTACTAAGACCCCCACTTACTGTTCAAAAGATCAACATATTCTTAAGTTATTTCTAAAGCTTTTAAGTTCCTGACTTTGTTAATGTGGAGCTACTTTACTTCAATGCACTTGCAGACTGCAATGCAAGGCATGGTCACAGCCTGCCTGCTGACACCGACACAGGGCTGGCAACATGGGTGAACTCACAGGACACGAGAACAGGCTGACAAAGACATTTAAGGCGCACGAGTCTGTGGGGCACAAGTCCCACACTGGACTCACAGGCAGCCCATGGTTAAAAGTCTAGGAGCCTTTTAGGAGCTGAGTCATTTCATTTAGCTGAGGTCTGAGGTGCAACTCACCACTTTGTGCTCAACTTGTTTCAGAAGATCTTCTTCTCTTCTCTGAAACAAGCAGATGCAGACGCCAGTGCGGCCAGCTCGGCCTGTCCGTCCAGAGCGATGGATGTAGGAATCGACATCCTTCAGACATTCAAATTAACGTGAGAAAACCTGGTGTCAAACTGCTGACACTTCAGATTAAATGCAAGCTAAATTCTAACTCAGCAGTGACACACTGTGTGTTTATACTCAACCTTGTAACAACACACAAACGGGTCAGTTTTGCATACACTGCCTTGTCCAAAGCATGCTGCTCAGCTCCTACAAACACTATTGGCATATTTTACTTTTTTAAACCAAATGCTCCACTGGAGTTTCAGAAGAAAAGGCAACAGGAGTACTTTAGAACTGTTACGAAACTCCACAGCATTCAGAAGTGATTCAGAAAAGCTGAAACAGTGTCAAAATGCATCTTACAGCTTTCCACAGTGAACAAAATCCAACACTTTTATCAAAGCTCAAAATGTAAAAGTTTAACTAGGGAATTTTAGGCTTGGCATTTACAAAAAAGCCATTTCATTTGTGAATTGGACCTTACTTCTGGTGAAGCAGAACAATAATCCACCATTCTGTCACAAAAAAACCAACAATTTGAGTCTCCCCTAACGACTTACTTTTGGCGGTGAGCACTGTATAACAAGGTCAACCTCAGGAATATCCAAACCACGAGCAGCTACATTTGTTGCAATCAGAACATCAAACACACCATTTCTGAAGCCTTTCAATGTAACTTCCCTCTGTTTCTGTGGAATGTCACCGTGCAGCGACTGGGCATCCTGTCAGTGTGACAACCATGAACACAGTGCTTAGCAGAGGCTGCAGCATCTAAAGACATGAAGTTACAACCACAAACCCCAAAATGCTGTGCAGAGCAACAGAAAATAATTACACAGATGACACCAAAGGGACAGAAAGCATCCTTATCCAACTCTGGGGTTGGATCTTTCTCTGGAACAGTAATACTCAGCAGCAGTGGTTTTACCATGATTATTATTATCTGTAGCATTCCAACTGCCTCATTTGCAATCTGCCATGCCCTAAGGTCCCACGTTGGCCTTCACTTCCACGGGAACGAACGGAAGCAACTTTACTTAAGCAGTGCTTATCAAGAGGCAGCAGAAGACTCTGCTCCCCTGTGCTGTTGCATCCCTCCTCGGGAAGCACTGTGACCTCAGAAATCCTTGTTAGGCCTTGGCCTGGATGAACAGCACCTGGGCTAAGCTTCTCTAGAGCTTATCAGAAACACTGTCTGCTCCTAGGAACTTGTGCTGTCTAACAAGCTCCAGTTTTTTAACAAACAGCCTTGGAAACTTAGTTTTCTTGCCTGAATAACAACTCAAGTGGAACACTTATTCTTGCCTGAATAACAACTCAAGTGGAATACTTCCCTTACCAAACTTTCTAAGAGTTACTGACCTGAACTGCAGAAAGGATGAAAAACTACTATAACTAAACCCAGCTCTTTGGTAAGCCTACAAATAGTGTCTGGACCACCATGGGACACCTCTCAGAGCTAGTGAACTCTCAGGTTTGCTCTGCTTGGAGCAGAACGCCGCTGACGAGCCTGGGCCAATGCTCCCACTCCTCAAGGGTTATGCAAAGGCATCCAACGTGAGCACTTCACTGAGTCCATGGGGAATTTTGTCTTAAGTACCTCAGATTCGTAAGCAAGAGAGGTCTCTGAGTGACTGTTCTGCTACAGTAAATTCTAGTTGAATCTCTTGTTAAATGGCTTAAATTAAGCTATTGCCTAAGTGCTAACCTTTAGGCCTAAACCACTATTCAGCTCTGGGGCTAAGTTTGGCAAAAGGGTCCAACTCTGATCCTTGCGTCCCATTGGGAGGGTCTCCCTTAGTCCTTTTTCATCCTTACCCTTTCCCATCCTTACCCTTTTTTCATTCTGAGCATCCATACAGGTAATTTTTGGCTGATTTTAGTTTTAGGTTGATTTTAGATTTTAGTCTGATTTTCCTCTGTGTGCTTTAACCATCTAGTACATAGTAGAGTGAATTTTGCCAATGAACTTCGTTGTGCTTTGACTTTAATACTAAACCTGCTTTTGCCAGACATGTTTCGAGTAACCTAAATCACTCATTCGCACATCCCTTCCCTGGAAAGCCATGCTAAAACCCACAGAGGCTGAAGTGAGGTTTCCAAGGTACTCCCAAACCTCACAGCTGATCTGAACAACCTACACTTTAAATAGCAGAAGAAATAGATCAAGCATTTGGCAAGGAGAAAGGGGAGAGCCACAAGCTCAGAATTTGAACAAGTAACATGCTACAGCAGAACCTGCTAGCATAAGAGAAAAATGCTTCACACACAAAGTCATTGGATTTACTGTGAAAGCAGCAGAGCCAACAGACAAAACTTGCTGCTCCAAGTTTTTAACACGGATGGTATATGACATTTATCTAATACTGGGCAGACCATGTGTTCCCATCACCGCTCTTTATCCGTAAATCGGTACTTAGTATCTGACAGGACTTTCTCTGACAAATATGGAGCACGTTTCCCATGCTCCAAAAAGGGTAATAATTCCACCAAACACAGAAGACCTGCTCAATAGATCACCTGAGATCTGAACAAACTATTAACAGACCTTCCCAGGGCAACCAGACATTTCATTTTACCACATGAACTGCATTTCCCTCCATGACTGTCCAAGAAATAAATGCAACTAAGAGATGGGAATCCAAACAGCACACAGATGTAAGGTGGGAAATGTGCACTATACCAGCTCCTGTTCACTACAATTATCACTACCTCCTGGCTGTCCTGCACGATTTTACAGCCCAAGGAATAAATTTGCTATCACAACCAACCGCAAGGCTCAACTTGTACAAACAGCTTCCATAAGCCTTAAAACCACCCACAGAAACAACTTCATCCACACAGCTGCAGCCTCCTATTTATTTCAGGGCATTCAACCCCCGAGTGCGTGTAACCGCTGCACGCGGCTGGGTCTCTGGTACCTGTTTGAGCGAAGCACTCATGGCCAGCTCATTCGCTTCTTTTTTGGTCTCACAGAAGACAATAGTCCTCCCACGGCTGCCACTGTAGACTTGAATGATGTCCCCAAGAACTCCTGCTCTCTGCGATGAGCGACACTGTATAGCCAAGTGCTGTTTGGGAAGAGACATGATTTGGTAGCTCTTAAATCTAAGTCAAGCATGGGTCAAACAAAGTGAACAAAGAAAGAACTTTTCTGGTTTTTTAAGCTTGCTAACTCCTGTCCCCACACAAAAGCTTTGCTTAAAAAACTGGTGTGCTAGTCCTGTGTAAAGTCATTCCACACCCATTTCATCAAGGCCACATGCACTCAGGACTCACACTGCTCTACAGCAGCATCTCTCACCTCCACGGTCGTGGCTGCCCTTTGAGTCTTCTTTCCAATCAGGTCAATCTGTTCATATTCATCTTTCATGTACTTTTTTGCTACATCATAAACCCACCGTGGACAAGTTGCAGAAAACAGTAGCGTCTGGGGGTTGTTCTCAGAGCCTGTAAGGAAAGGCCATCGATTTCAGACATCACAACAGACCTGAAACTTGAGAACTGATAAAGCAACAGAGTTGCTCTCAAACTGACAGGTTTCTACGTGCATTCTGTATTTCTACTTCCAGTAATTCAAGCCACTTTAAAACTTCTGGCATTACTAAAATGTGGCAAGGAGTTTTACGCATTAAAATAACCTCCTTTTGCTCTGTACCTGCTACCTGATGGCTTTGCTGAACACTCACTCCATCAGAAAAGAGCAAATACTTCCTAGTTGTCAACTTCGTGCGATGACAAGTGTACAGAGATCATAGTCCTCACCCTCTGCCCAGTCACCCCTCTCTGGATAAGGCTTTGGAGCTAGGCTGGGCTTTCACCCGTTTGGGGGTTTTTCCTCCTCTCCATGCAGAGATGACACACCAGCCCTTAAGCCACCTGTCACCTTGCTTTGAAGGATTTTCAATCTACGTTGCCCTTTTCTGATGCCCAATACTAGTACCATACAAAGAATTCAAACTGGGCATGCACCAGCAGTTTTTAAAGTAACATTCCTGTGCTTTTCGCACTGTCCCCTGATCTCGTCCTGATGTCAGGATTTACCTTTTTTATAAACAAACCCTAAGATTTCTTCCACTTGTTCAGCAAAGCCCATGTCCAACATGTGATCCACTTCATCCAGAACAACATGCTTCACACTGGAAAGCTCCAGCTTGCTATTCTGAGCATGGTCTTTGATCCGTCCTGGAGTTCCCACTAGAATATCAATGCCACTTTTGACGAGGTCAACTGGAAGACAGAAAAACAAAGACGGTGTCGGACTGCTAAAAGACACCATGGTGAAAAGTTACCAGTACACAGAAGCACTTCCCAGTTTAGAACCAAAAATCGACTGCTCTTTTTCCTCTCACTAAAGCACTACATCCAGCCCAGTGACAGACAAGGCAGCACGACAGCAGTCCCAGTTGCTCCATTGGGAACACCAGCTAAACCTCACACAGGGATATAGTGAGACACACCATTTTCCAAGCAGCAATCAGCTGACATCAGAAACCTCCAGAGTTTTACTACAGGAAAATACTTGAGTTTTCCAGCTGAATTCTTTTTCACAGCTGCCTCTGGAGACACAGAGCCACACACATATACACAGTTCTCCCCCTTCTGTGGACTGCCATCTAGTTCCAGCATATGTCCACACAAAACCCAGGAAAACACACAGTGAAGAAGAAACCAGAAGTGTTAGTCACATCTCAGATCTAGAGCCATTGTTTTCCATAAAGATTTAATGGAGCTGAAATAATTCAACCCAGGCTGTGTGCTTCCTTCAAAACCAGTATCCTGGCTCCTCACTGAAGTGAAACTGAGGGGGGGAAACAGCCCACTTTTATTCATGGAATGCACTTGGAGAAAGTCAGCTCCAATCTAGTAGTGATCCCTTAGTGGTTACTTACGTTGCTCTTTATATGGAGTTCCTCCATAAAAACAAGCAACTGACAGTTTCCTTGTGAGAGTCTTGAAGTCTCTGGCTACTTGAGTCGCCAGTTCCCTGGTTGGAACAAGAACCAACACCTAGAGGGAGTGAAGAACAGACAAACATGCAGCAGTGCTTGAGAGAGGGTGTAGGAGAAAAGGGTTCCTGTAAAACAGCTTGTACTCCCATTTTTATTCTACACTGGTTGCAGAGGTGCCCACAGCTTCCCACCACCCCAGCAGTATTCCCTCACACCTGGACCATATGCCTGCACCATACCTCAGACCGAGCAAGAGGAAAGCAAGGCAAAGCACTACCAGGTAACCAAAATGTAGAACAGGTAAAAGACACTTCAGTAACATTACCAAGGGCACTCAAGGTGCAGCTCAGCATTAAAGAGCAGGAACAGTCACTAAATGTGGAGTAGTAAGATTTTTAGAGATACATAGCCTGATGCACTCTAGCGACATATCCTCCTCCTCCACCTCCCTGCCCTCCTCCAGCACCTATCCCCCTCTTCATTTTGTTTAGGAATGGACTGATGACACAAAGAGCCGAATTTGTCTCATGAAACCTTCCAGACCATAAGATTTTAAAACGTGTATCACCTTTAAAGTTAACAAAAGAGAAGGTAGCAAACGAGTTTTGCAGTCTAATCATAAATATATACACTGCATTTGCATGGGAATAGGATATCTGATCACTGGCATCATTATCACTACTTGGACCTGTGGAGCCTCCAGAGTGAGGGTGGGGGGAGGACAAAAAGCCTTCAATATCCCTATGGAATTCATAGCGAGAAATCCAGCTGACTCAGCTATCACTGCTGGAGAGGGAGGAGACTAAACCACAGAGCCATGTGCTAACTGAGGACAGCAGCCCCTGTGCTCAGTGTCCTGCATTCCCCAGCCAGTCACCAGGGACCCTGAACACGAGTGACCACCGACTCCTGATCCAGGAAAGCATCCAGTATTGCAAACACCAATAAATGAAAAGAAGTCCCAAACAAAAATCCCCAAAGCAACAGGAACATCACTCCCTAAACCTGCCACCCTCTCAGGTTTCAGTGTCAACCCTTCAGGGGTAAGTTACTTTTGGTGCACGGCCTCTCCTCCCATCCTGCAAGCCACTCTGAAGTTTCTCAGTCAGTGGAAGAGCAAAGGAAAAGGTTTTCCCAGTCCCGGTTCGAGCTTGAGCTATTAGGTCTTTGCCATCGTATATGGGCTGAAAAGTCTTCACTTGCACAGGAAACAGGTATTTTACACCTCGAGCTGCAAGGTAATTGAAAGAAGTCTCACTAAAAGGTGAAAAACCAGTTAGAAGCCCTCATATATAACAAGCCCAAATATGTAGGGCACATCATATCAAATCCTGTCCAGAACAGGAGACGCAACTTTGAAGAAAACCATGTGTCTTTATTTTTTTATTCCTGCTCTAGATCAAAAGGTTTTCCATCCCCAGACACACAGCTGAGTGCCCACAAGGAGACACAAGCTTCCTTGGGATGTGTGGTGTAATACAACCAGAGAGGAAGGAAAAAAAACCCCAACACGTTTTGTCTGATACAGCCCAACATTTGGTAGCAGCTTGGCTTTCAAGGTGCAAAGGAGGTGATGGTGTTTGTTTTGAAACATTCTAAAACTTCAGAGAGATCTTGCACAGTGGAAGTGCAACAATCCATCCAAGATAAACTTCCAAGCAAGGAAAATGGAAAGGCACAAGGAGAATTTTGTCAGAGGAACAGGAATCGCAGAGCTTCCCAACACGGGGGACAAGAACTCTCCAGCGATCATTTCCTCAACAAAACTAACAGAGAACAAACCAAACAGTCTTTGTATACAAAACTCCCTCACGTTTATTTTAGTAGCAACATTGTAGGCAGCAGACACCGGGGGGGAAAAAACCAAAAATACACAGGAAGTGGAGCAATGCTAACAAGAAGAGAAACACGTCTCTAGAAGGTACATCTAGGATGGAGGAATAAACTCACCTTAAGGCACCTGAAATTGAACAAAACAAACTTTTTTCCTAATAAGAACAGTGCAATTTCTGAGTCTACAGCGACTACTTGTGCACATTGTTACCACATAATAAACATAAGACAATTTAGGACCCTCAGCTTCTGCCTCTGCTCATGCAGGCAACAGAGTGCAATGCTGGACAAGCGTTTACAAGGATTTCTTTTACCACATTTACCAACCTGTGAGAAGGTTGATAGTGTTTTCGGAGAGCGGAAAATTGGAGAAGGCACCTTCTTTTACTTCTTCTGTCAGCTCCTAGCAGGATTTAAAAAAATAATTATTCGCCCTCAGAGATGAGTGCATAACATGCCCTACACAGGCACTCAAGGAAAGCTGTGCATTTGTTTTATCACCACCGTTTTACCAGCTTCCTCCTCTCTGTTTAAACAAGGCAGTTGCACATATATGCTTAGCAAATCAAGACAGGGAAACTACTTGGTAAAAATTTTAACTGGAATCTGCTGAAACTAGTAGAAAACCATTTTCCACAACAAAACATACGGTGTCACAATTCACTGTGTGAAGTAGGAATTTCCCTCCAAATCACACCTACTTGGTCCATCATGTGAAGAGCTTTGAACTTTACATACCAGGAAAAGCTTCAAATCGTTTAGCTTTTACTTCAAAGACCCAAGAGATCACATCGTTACATCCAGTGTACAATGAGCACTGTCCAAGTTCCCATTCGCACCCCAAACACATAACTACCCACAAGAGGTTGGGCGCAGGGCCCCCCTGCATGTATGAGCGAGGCTATGGGCAAAACCCCAAAGGGAGAACTCCAGAGCTGGGAATTAACGAGGATAACTGTGACTTTCCCTTACAGAACACCTTGCCAAATCCTTCTTCGGAGGCCCTACGAGCAGAGAAAATGCCATCGCAGAACAGAGCACTTTCTGGGACAGTGATGCAGACACCTTTGCGCCGCAGGGCACAAAACAAGTTGCAGCATGAAGACAAGTAGCACGTGGAAGCTGCTCCCTGCTAGGCAGTCTGC